GTCACCAACAAACTAGGTGATTAATCACTAATCACACTCTAATATTCCAACACTACTTCCCTGATTTTATTATATGTATATATTTTTTTTCCAAAAGGATATTTTTGTCTTTATTATTACAGATATTATATTCTTTTAAAAAAATAGATTTCTTGGATGTTAAAAGAAATAAAGCAAGCGGTCTATTATAAATTTCTGAGGAAGTTGATTTCTTGATACAATTAGAAATTGAAATAACCCAGTAAGTGATAGTTTGGAAATAAAGTAATAATTCTTTTACGATGAATCGTTGATTATTAATGTGATAAAAGCAAATGAATTCCAACAAGGCCCCATTATGCTAGTCTAGAGGCAGCCCAAAAAACTTGATTCGAGCTCACGACATTGTTTATATCGTTTCCATTATTAGGCCCAAGTTTCGACCATTCAATGTTTGTAGTAATGTGAGATTGATAAAAAAAAATGGAAATGACAGGAAAATCTTTTTAAAATATGCAGATAACAATAAGATCTCACAAAATATCATAATTTTTTTTAATTTCTTAGGGACATTCTAGCATTAATGATTTTTGATAAAATAAATAAAATATCTCCAGTTTAAAATAAAAAAAGTAAATATTAATGACTATTTTAATTTAAATAACAACTACTTTTTTTTTTTAACAATGACTTTGGGTGAAACAAGTAATTATAACTTTTTTTATATAAAATTTTTATTCAAAAGTTCAAGTGTTATAAATAGTTATGATTGCTTTAGTTTGAACAATAACTATTTTTCATTTGGCAATAGTTAGAATGGAACAAATAATTACAACTTCTATTGTGCACACAAAATTGATCCTTAGATAGAAGCTTAGGGTTTAGGGTTTAGTTTAATCTTCTTCCAGGATATGCACATAAAGTACAAACTCTAGATGATAGGCTTAAAAATGATTAATGAAATCTAAAAAAAAAACTTGTTCCTATATTTAATATAAACTTCAGTATTTAATGAACTTGAGATTCTGATTTTCTCATTTGACAGTTGTTAAATATAATGATATTTATATTTAGAGAACCTCTTGTATGAATTTGTTTTGTTTCACCTACATGCATGCAACAATTAGTACCGCAAGGGCCAATCAATATGAATTTTCTTGTCCTTCTAGAAATCTATAATAACCCTTGTTGTACAAATTCTGTGATGCCGACCCAATTTTCATCTGAAAAAAAAGACACATATCTATTGTACATTATTGATCATGTGAATGGCCAAAATTTTCTCTAAAATTTTAAAATAATCTTTCTTTTTCAAAAAAATTATAACTGAGATGTGTGTGATACCACTAATATAACGTAAAAATTGTTATCACCTATTCGAAAAGCCATCACCTCATAATTGGAAAGCAACATATAAATTTCTCGTGCAAATGTAACCATTGGCTCACAATAAATATACATTACTACTAATATGATACATATTAGTTATCCCAAATTAGTCATAAATTAATATTTTTATCAGTTAAGGAGTTGTTTATTTTTTAAGAATATTATTATTTTTTAAAGGATACAAGAAAACATTCGTAACATTTCAATCGGAAGGAGAAGAATAATGGTGCATTGCTCCTGCTGATTCAAAGTAAATTAGTCATTTTTTCGGGGTCCATATTTCAATAAAATTAAAAAAATTAATTTCAGGTCATCATAAGCAGAATAAAAAATGATTGATATGATTTTCCTGAACTCACTTGCTGCAAGATTATTGAAAACAAGTAAGACGGCATGAACATTATTAATTATTATATAATACAACCAAAATATAGAGGACAAATTTGACATGAAGGAGGTACAAGAAGTTCCTAAGTGCGACGCCCATTAACCCTTGTCCCGCACTTCCTTAGAAGATCATTCACCATACTTGCAATCCACCGCGGTTTTCTTGAGAAAATCACAACCCAAAACATGGATGCTCCGGATGAGGCTCCACATATATACCCTAGTACAACAGGTTTCCTTCCTAATTCAAAAAACACAGCATCAGAACTTGAACTGGGTAGTGGCAGTGACTTTTCTCATGAGTGACGCATGGAATGTGAAGTTGAAATCCATGCAAGCCCTTGTTTCCTTTAAAAGAATCACTTGAGAATGTTTCAAAATGTGGGACCATAGGAATGCATCCTTCAAGCTCATTTTGTGATAGGTTCAAATACCCAAGAAAAGTCAAGACTTGCCAGTGATTTTTCTTCACCTTATCATTTCCATGTCTTTTTGTTTCGTTTTTCCACCTAATAATGGAATGTCATTCCAACTGTGCGAATTTTTCCCAAAAAATCTCTCATAAATAAAGCAATATCTCTATTATAATTACATTCTAACTAAATATCTGCTTCCAAAGTTTGCAATTAATATTCCATAGGCCTAGTTTGACAACACATTTAAGCATGCCAAAAAACTGCAATATACTTCCTCCATTAAAAAATATAAGACGTTTTTAATCAAATCTTACCACCAATAAAATAGTTACTTATCTTCAAATTAACTCTATCTTTTCATATTTACTCTTCTTTAATAGAGTGTCTTATCCTAAAATAAATATCAAGTGATTTATTCAATAGGGATACTTTTAAAAAATGTAATGATTATACCTTGAAAAACTAAAAATATCTTATATTTTTTAACATTCAACCTCTTAAAAAATATTTTATATTTTTGAACAGAGAGAGTATTTTTGTATAACTTAATATTACAAATTTGAGAATTTAAATTTGAAGAAAAAAGTATTAGTAGTAGTAATAATAATAATAAATAAATTGTTGCTCTATTCCTAAGTACAGAAAAGGCCAACCATAGCGAATTTTCTAACCATCTCAACGTTATTTCCAGGTCATTACCTTATCCATGACTGAGAACCATTTAATTTAATTTCTGTGCCGAGGTTGGGGGAAAAAAAACACAAACACGGTATAAAATAGTGAGCAAATTAATATTGATGTGCAATTCAAAAGTTACATGCATATAAACATTGACTTACAAGTCATCCAATAAAGACTTAACCGTTCAAAGTCTTCACCATTCCATGCGCGCTGTTTGAGCATGTGTGAAGGGCTACATGTTGGCAGGTTAGGTCGACCATCACCCCTGCTTGGTGCCAAGCTCAATGTGCAACATAGGCTAGCCCGATGCCTGAGTGTTCATGCTGAGTTTTGCTCAATTGATCTAAAAATATTTTTATAGATATTTTTTTTGAAATAAATACAAAAAATTTCTTTTAAGAAAAAATATTTTTTAACATTTAAAATATTTTTTATAAAACTAATATTAGAATCAAAAGTATTATTTTTAAAATTACATATGATCAATAACTCACAATTATTTTTAAATAATATTAAGTTGAAAACAAATTTTAAATTTTGAAAGACATTAAAAAAATTGTATTGATAAGACATGTTCAAAAAGATCATAAAAATAATATAGTTCATGATAACTCTAGTCCAAAACTAATATCACAAAATAAATATTATTCATAAAAATATTTTTTTTTCCTAAAAAGACATGCTCAGGCTAGCAGGGCAAGGCAAAATTTGACCCCTTCTTGTTGCCCAGTTTGAAGCCCAGCCCGATGTGCCCCTATGTGGCTCGAGCAGCGTCAGGCTAACTGGGCTTTTGGATGACATGAACAGATTTTATTGTGATTTGAAATGCTTCATGCATCAATTCGATACCCCTTCTCACATGCCGCAACAAATATATACTCACATATAAATACAAGCTTTTATGTTTGAAAGACTGGGTACCACCTTTTAAAGTACCGTGTCGATGTGTTTGTTGGTTCATGAGTATTCTTCTCAAGAGGATGAGGGTCGTTAAAAACACACAATACACAAGATTGATCATTTACTTAGATAGAATATTCTTCCAGGGTACGTACATAAAGTATGTATTCTAGATGATAGGCTTAAAAAATGATTAATTAAATCTAAAAAATGTGTTCATATATTAAAAATAAACTTTAGTTAATGGACTGGAGATTCTGATTTTCTCTTTTGACGGTAGTTAAACCTAATGCTATTTATAATTTGAGAAGTTTTGGGGCCAAAGGCTATATTATGCCACAAAAATTTAAATACAATAAGATAAAAAGACCATTTTATCCTTAAACTATAACGTTAAGAGTATCTATAATCCTTTTTTTTTTCAAATGGAGATACAGTTGAATTTATTTTGTCATTCCCTCCACAACCAACAATTCCCTTGGAATTGTTCTGAACCTAACTTATGAATTTATTTTGTTTTACCCACATGCATGCAAAAATTAGTTGAAAGGCCTTCACCTCATAATTGGAAAGCTACATGTAATTTGCTCGTACAAATGTGTAAACATTGGTTCACAATAAATATATATATTTTACTATTATTTTGATAATATATATTAGTCATCATAAATAAATCATAAATTAATATTTTCATAATTAAAGATTTGTTTGATTTTTAAGAATATTATTAATTTTTAAACGATACAAGTAAACACTCGTTAACAAGGGCATTGGTGCCGTTTCGAAGTAATTTACACATTTCACTGTCTTCATTTCAATAAATTAAACAAAAAACGATCAATTTCAGCTTATCTTATATATATATAAGCAGAATAAAACATGATTATTGTGATTTTCCTGAACTCACTTATTATAAGATTATGAATATCAACTAAAACAACATGAATATTATTAATACAACCAAAGAAAAAAAGGACAATTTTAACATGAAGAAAGTAGAAGAGGTTGCTAAGTGCGACACCTGTAAACCTTTCTCTTCGTCCTTTTTAAGAGATCCCTCACCATATTTGCAATCCAATGGGGTTTTCCAGAGAAAATCACAACCTAAAACGTTGATACTCCAAATGAGGCTCCACATACATGCCCTAGCAAAATATGTTTCCATCCAAATTAAAAAAATTCAGCTTCAGAACTTGAACTTGACAGCGGTGGTTGACTTTTCTCATGAGTGATGCATGGAATGTCAAGTTAAAATCCACGCAAGCCCTTGTTTCCTTTAAAGGAATCATTTGAGAATGTTTCAAAGTGTGGGACCATAGGAATGCATCCTTCAAGCTCGTTGTGTGATAGGTTCAAGTACCCAAGTAAGTCAAGACTTGCCAATTGTGGAGGAATTTTTCCTATGAGCTTATTTGATGATAAGTCCAAGGATTCCAACTTCCTCAAATTTCCAATTGAGCTTGCAATTGCATCGGATAGCTGATTATGTGAAAAATTGAGTCCCTTTAATGCGCCAAGCTCTCTAATAACTTGTGGAATTTTTCCTTCAAACATGTTGTTGGATACATCAATTGTTGTAAAAACAATCAAGATCTTTTCTAAATAAGTGTCCAATCCTTTCATGATTACCTCAATGGAGTCTTGGTATATTCCCATGGAGCCATTTCCATAACCCATGTAGCGCAAGCTGGATTTTCCTTCATTTGCATTTCTCATAGCTTTAAAAGATTTGAAAAATGTTGCAGGTAGAAGACCACTAAAGTTATTATTCAACAGATCCAAAACTGTTAACTTTAGGAAGGCAAGCTTGTTATGAGACAAGTTCAAAATTTCAAGTGAGCTACTGATGCAGTGTGGAATGGTGCCGGTGAAGTGGTTATAGGATAAGCTTAGAAATCCAAGTGAGGTAGCATTGCAAATAGAAGCAGTAAGCTCTCCTTGAAGGGAGTTGTTACTCAATTCAAAGCACTGCATATATTTAAATGACATGTGATGCAACTGCACACTTCCTGTGAAAAAGTTGTCAGAAAGGTCTAGCCACATAAGGTTTTTATGGGAAAAATTGACCTTGGAATTGGACCAGACAACTTGTTATTAGACACATCAAAAAATTCCAATGAATAAGAGGATATTTCACCTATTGACCTGTGAATTGGTTAGTAGAAATATCTAACCACTCCAACGATGGTAGAGAAAAACACCAAGAAGGAATGGTTCCATTCAATAGGTTATTGTGCAAGTACAAATATGTTAAAAGTGGAAATCCAGTTTTTTCATTTGGAAGATGTCCTTGGAAGCCATTATCATCCAAACCTACATACTCGAGATTTCTAAGTTTTGAAATTGAAGATGGAAATGGACCATTGAAATTATTTGAGGATAAACTTAAACGAGTGAGGTTTTGAAGATTTGAAAGTGATGGTGAGACTTGACCAACAAAATCGTTGTTAGAGAGTTCTAACTCAATAAGTTGTGTGTGGTTCCAAAATGATTTCGGAATTTCCCCCGTAAATTGGCATGACGCGAGATTTAATCCCTGGAGGGAATTACTCCAATTAGATTTTGGAAGATAGCCCGTGAGATTTTTGTTAAATGCCAAAACTATCTCCTGAATATGTGGAAAACAAAAGATTTCATCTCCCAAATGCCCTTGCAATCCAGCTTCAGCAATAGTGAGAGAGATCAAGGAAGATGAAAGATTCTTGAATAAATGGCTAGGTGATATTGATGACATATCCACATCATACAGCCAAATATCCTCTATCTGAGTGGCATTTTTTAGGAGTCTCTCCCAAGTTTTTGGTTTAAAACTTACATAATCAGGAAGATCAAGTGAAACCAATTTATTTAGATGAGAAATTTGAGGTGAAACTTCACCAGAAAAGCCAGAACCCAGACGTAAGTGGGTCAAACTTACAAACTGTGAGAAGTTGGATAATAACTGAGACCCTTTAAAGTCATTCCCAGCTAGGTCAAGTCTCTGGAGATGGGTAAGGCGGAAGAGACTATTATCGGCAAGAATTTTACCCTGAAGGCGACTACAATTAAGGTTGAGACTAATTACGTGACCTAATAGATTGCAAGTGACCCCATCCCACAAGCAACAATTGTACCATTTCTCCAAGACAATGTCTTGGAGTATGGAATGATATTATCGTCCTCACAACCAAAAAAGATATAGTAAGACTCAAAAGAGGGATCAGAATTGAGTTTTATAATGGAAAATGAGTTTTTGAAATGGAGCAGAGCAGAACTTTGGTCAGGGCGGCATGATGGAAAACCGAAGGAAGAAGAAAAGGAGTGCATGAGAACGAGTTGGAGACAGAGAACTGAAGAAAGTGAGAACCACGCCATGTGAAACTACTAACTCTTCAAAGACTCCAAGCTGTATTGAGTACTGATTGCTATGAGTAGCGAGAGGAGAAATCCCTATATTTATAGCTGAAGGGAAAAATTAGAGAAGCACTCTAATTTTTGAAGAGTTCTTTCTTTAATATATCTGTTTTATTCTGAATATTGCTGAGAAATTTCGCATTTGAACGATCTCCACCCCTTCTCCGTCCTTGTAAGGCCTCCAAAAGAAAAGAAAAAAATAGTTTTTTATATATGCTATTGGAAAATATAAACGATTATTCGGGGCCATTATTTCTAAGAAGTAATATAACTAATTAATAAACCATTATTTCTAACCCTTCTCAAATATTATTCTGGACATTACCAAATTGATCGCTGAAGTTTTTAAAATTCTTCGGGAATTTTTTCCTTAAAAGAAAAAAAAAAAACACACACACACACTCTTGGTGGTGCCTTTTATTGCTTTGATTGTTTCTTCTCCTAATACTTTCGATTTTCCACAAAAATGTCTACATAATTAGCCCAAATTAGAATTTAGAAGACAATACATTAATGACATAATAATTTTTCTTAAGAAATTTTTAACGAATTATATTTTCTCAAGAAATTTGGAAGAATTGGATATTCTTTATGTAACTATTCCCATTTTTATTTAAGAATATGTATTTTAAAATGATAATTATAATAATATAAATTAAATATCCCTTAAAAATAACTTATATTTGATTCTAATATAAATGCTTCCAAGATTTTTACTATTCTTTTTTTCTTTTTGTAAGTATAGAGAATAGACTCCACTAACAGCAAAAATTATCTTCCACGAGATATTGGGGACAAAAAGTAGTGACAATAAGTATGTTTGTAAAGAAAGAAAAGGCCTGTTCTAGCAAAATTTCAACTCTCACAAAATAAAAAATTATTAATTTATTTGTTATAGTGAAAAAGTATTTTAATTATTTATTGAACAACATGAAAAATGAAAATCCTATTTATAACCTTAACTCTGAAATTTATAATTCAAATTTTTATATTTACAAATAAAACGTCATCATATATTTTAATTACTTCCAAGTCTTTCACAAGTCTACTCGCATACTGATATTGACTTACAACTCTTTCACAAGTCTGCTCGCGTACTAACATTGGCTTATTTTAAATTTAGACGATATTAGTGGTTCCATATTCGTTTCTCTTCACCTAATCCTTTTAAATGTGAGATGCCAAATTTTCATGTGTCTAATAATCAATGCCCCTATCCAATGTCGCAATAAATAAGAAAATACTCCGGCCTTTATATATTTATATAAGATATTTGAGTTTAATATAAAAATATTTATATATTTTCATTATATATATATAAATATTTTATGTTAAAAAAAAGTTTAAGTGGGTTGATTCCGACCTTCCAAAGACTTATCAGAGCAAAGGCTAATCCTTTCAAATTTAATATTACATATTTGAGTTTTTTTATTATATATCATACTTTTAAAAAAACAAATTAATTCATATGTAAAAAATTTCTTAAGTCTGCTAATAAAAAAAAAGCCAATCCCTTCAAATTTTCTAACCCTCTCATAATTTTGTTTTCAATTCACAAAATTTCGCAGAAATAAGCAATGATTTCCAAGTCTGAGGCGAAAGAAATTAAGAAAAGAAAAACTTTGACTTCCAAGTTAACGTGGAAGTCCACTAGAAGCTAATGAAATGCAGTTTATTTATGTATTCGTCATTTTAACTTTATATCTAAAACTTAAATATACTAAATAAATATTTTTTATAATTTAAGGTCGCATATATTATTTTTAGAAAATTATAAGTTTTTAAAAAACTAATATACAATATCTGAAATATATATTAATAAGTCTATTTGTGAAGAAAGAAAAGGCCAGTCCCAGAAAAATTTCTAACCCTCAGAAAGCGTTAACCCAGCCATGATTCGGAATTATTTAGTATAACTTTAGAACCAACATTAGCAAAATACATAAGCGAGTGTCTGTGTGTGTATAATAATGCGATAATTAATAATTTAAATTTCGAAGAACCATTCTTTTATTTGGGAAAAAAAAAACATTCTTGCAGTGAAAATTTTAAGTTAGTTATTTATTAGTTATCAAGATGTTTTCACCAATTCCTGAGATTAGCCCAAATTATAAACTAAAAGATAATACGATCTCTATTAAAAACTTGGTTCCTCTATATATTTGGTTGAGCTAATTATTTCAAATCTATGCGTGTTTCAGATATACAAACCTAACCCAATCTTTCTAGTTATCCTTTTATAATTTTATTAAAGAATATAAATTACATTCTAATAAGTGCATTTTAATTAAGAGAAGTAGAAGAAATTTTAACATGTAAATTACATTTCTTAATTAAAAATATGACCTACTCTCAATTGAAGCCTTCCCTGTGGGTCTGGCTGCTTCGTCGATTATTCCATCACCACTAATTACTCTTTTTGAGTTCAACAATTTCATGATTGAGAGGATATCTTGCTTCAAGGTGGGAGGATCATGCAATGTCTCTTGTTCGACTTACAAGTTTGGTGGTTGAGATTTTGCATATATATCCGAAACACAATGTATAATAATTATTATCGTTTCTCTCATATTCTTATCCCATTCTCTTAATATAATTGGAGAGGTACATTATGGGAAATTAATTATATTAGAAATAAAAGGTTAAATTATACTTTTAATCCTTTAAACTTTATAAAAGATTTTATTTTGGTTCCTTAAATTTATAAAATATATTTCAGTCATTTAACCTTAATACCATTAGTTTCATCACAAAATTTTTTTACATCAAATTTATAAATATTGATAAAATATTCTCAAATGTTGATATATTAAATTTAATTTTTTAATAAAAAATAATTGGTACAAAAATAATCATTTGAACTAACAGTATTAGGGTTAAAAGATTGAAAATATAATTTATAAAATTAACAGAAATTAACAAACCAAATTAAAATCTTATATAATTAAATTAAGAAGATCAAAAATATACTTTAGTTGTAATGAAAAGCAAATCAAGTCCATTTACCCAAAAATAAAAAAAAGTAAGTAAATCAAGTCCATGTGAGGAGCACGAACACGGCCAAATCTGTAGTGATGTCCTGTACATTCCGTAGTCAGGTATAATTGCATACCTCCAAACCAAATACAAAACATCTTTTAGAAGCCTTGCTTAATTCAATATATAAGGCATTAGGTAATTTTTATAATATTTTTTTAACTATATTCCTATTTCATTCATTATTTTTTTAAATGAAAAATGATGCTTTGGAATTTTGATTAATTATCATTATCAATGCACTTATATAGGATATTTAATGAGGGTATAATTGAAAAGGTGCAAATTTTTTTAACAAATTAAGATTTCAATTAATATTTTTTTATAACAGTGAATTAATTACCAATGTACTATATTTTGGCCCAAAGGGAGTATATAATTTGTTTCTACCCCGAAACATTTTTTTATAATAAAGTCTTTTTATCTTTTTCCACCAAAACTACTTTTACTGTTGTAAAATATAAAATTTATAAAAAATTGTATACAATATTTATGGGCAAAAATGATATTACTTCAACACAAAGTAAATAAATAATACTAATTAATTAATTAATTCTCATATTAATAGTACCACATTGATGAACTCTCTTTTTTAAATTTTTTATGATCTATTGATGATTAGTAAACTCATGTTACTCACATTGTGTACACATTTAAAGCCAAAATGGGACTAACCTTGATTGCAGCAGGGACTTGTATGTATCACACTTTTTGAGTCTCATATAGGACTAGTCCTAAAGTAGGGATTCAATGTTTGTGGCATATTTAGTATAGAGAGCTTGCAGACTCATGCATCAGGGTAGATTGATTGGCTGTCCAAGTCTGAGAGGAATTGAACTATGTGAAAAGTCCCACATTAAAAAAAATTGAATTTAATAACTTATATAAATTAAAAATGAAAGACCTGTAAATTGGAGCCTTGAGATTATGATGCCATAAATAGCAATTTGACACCAGTAAATCAAATGAATAATTAAATGGATAGATGTGATTGGGTATGGAGAGATGTGTTTAGGAAAGATATGGAAAGGATACAAATCTCACTCGGATGTAAGATGCGAATGCAAACGGCCAAAAATAATAATTTCACAATATCGCTCGAACAAGCTCCAGAAAACTTATAAGTAGCGAACACCCTAACAGCAAAAATACTTAACCCAAAATTGATACAAGTTAAGTTAACAGCCAATATAAATATCGTTAATCAAGGAATAACATTGTAACGATTTTAATATTTGAGAGATAACATTGCTTCAATCAATAGTTGGTGTCTGGCCAAAAAAAAAAATCAATAGTCGATGTGTAAAAATGTGCTTTAACTCTTATAATTAACACCCATGGGGGCGTACATGATGAATTAATTATATTAATAATGGAAAAAGTAAGTCAACAACGCGTGAGGAGCATTCACAGTCATATTTATCCACCATCCAAGGAGTGCGCTTTACTTTTCTAGACGCCTAATTTGATAATTTGAGTATGAACATATGGGATTTGACTAAGATCTTGAATGCAAATCTTATAAAGAGAAAGCTTGGAATTTGGAATCTGTAAGTGGCTAAAACTTACTAATTTAATAAGTTTTTAATTATAATTATTGAATTTTATCAATATTTAAAAATTATCAAGATATATTTTTCTCCAAAAATTTAAAACATTCTTCACAATCAAAGCATGTTGTCCCCTTGATCTTATAAAGTTCACTTTACTTATGAGGCTTCTCAATATAGGACTCATAATAATACCATTTTGTTTGGCAGCTGACGTCTCTAGCGATTCTACTTCACGGCATTTCATTCAACTTCCTACCAATCAAAACTTTTTATATGTAGCCTTCTCTATGCCTCTCAATAAAAGCATACTAATATTACAAGCACAAGGTTAAAGAAAGAAGTAAAAATACTGTTAAACTCTTATAATTAGTA